ATAAGAAGGTCATGAGATGCACAAGTCTTCAGTAGTTAAGCGACCACTGCTCAACCTGGTTTAGCCAGTCTGCTCAAGCGGTTTACCCAGCTGTGGATGCTGCACATGCTACAGCTCCTTAGAGCCACAAGTTAAGAGTTAGGTGGATACACCAAAGGTGGAAAGCAACCCTCACAAAAGAGGCACTAGTCTTCCCTGAACACACCCTACACCCTGAAGCAGACTGGATATGAAGGATGAAGGAGGAGTGAGAGACAGTGAGGAGGAAAGCCTTTCTCACTGCTTACTGCCTCAGGGTACAGAGAAGCCCTCTAAGGACTACCTGACACCTCCACTGGATGATCTCAGAACCTTGGAATTGGTATTCTACGGCCAAGGGAAAGGAGAATTTTCCCAGTGGTGTTGAGGCATGCCAATTTCTGTGTGTGCTCAGGTAGTGGGCTTAGCTTGGAAGTGGAGGAGTTCAGAAGGAGGAAGCTAGGAACTTTCTCAGTGAAGGGAGTGGAAAGGAATGAGAAAACGTTAGGGGTATAAGAATAGGTATGGCTGTATTGGAAACAACTCTATTATTGGCTACCATGACTCTGGGTCAAGTCTTGTTCTCCCAAAAGGGTTCAAGCTCAACTGTGATAATTGTTGGGGGGGGGGGGTGGAATCATAATATCTGCAAATAAGACATAATTTACCTCCATTTTGTCTATACTTATTCCCACAATTTATATCTCCCATGTTGATACCATAACCAGCAGCATTCCTTATACAATATGGAATAATGGTGCAGGCATGGGACATTCTTCATTTACCACTGACCTTTTTTGGGAAACGTTTCAGTGTTTTCACATAAAAAATAATGCTAGCTCTTGATTTTATGTAAATATTTTTTATCTTTCCTTGAGAAAAACGATTTTTTCTTTACATTTGTACCCTACTGTCTAGTATAGTTACCGGCACACAGTAGGTATATAACACATTTGTTAACTGATATTAAGGAAGAGTTCTTTTATATTTTTAACATAAATGTCCTATTCTGTCCAAGGGTTTTCTGCAATGATTGATAATAATGCAAGGGCGTACAGCTCAGGCCTCCTCATACCTGAAGACTTGCATCATTTTCACAGTTACAAGGAATGTCTACCTCTTTATTTATATATCACCATATATAAACAATATCTTTATTTAGGATCAAAGATTTCCAGCTGGAAGGGTCTTCAGAAGCCATTTGCTCCAATTCCCTCTATTTACAGAGGAGTCAAGCTCAATGAGAGTAAGGACTGCCTCAATTGATATGAAAAAATGCTCTAAGTCACTAATAATTAGAAAAATCCAAACAACTTAGATATTTTACTTCACACCTATCATATTGGCAAAGACAACAAAAAACTCACAAAATTAAAAAAATTGGTGGGGAGACAGGGTCAGCAAAGGACTTTTGCTTTGCTTGATTACATGTTTGCAACAGATTTTGTTTTTCTGGCTTTCTAAACGGTGGGGAAGGAGAGAAGGGAGAAGGCGGACCTTTATGAAAATGAAATGAAATTTTAAAAAATTATGCATTATAGTTAATGATGAGATGAAAAATATGATCAGCCATATGTGTAACTGAGGTAGAGTGAAGGTAAAGATCATGTGAATTTAGGAAGTTGATGAACTCAAAAGCCAGGGTATTTCAGGGGACTTCAATATGTACAGGAAGAGTTCCAAGCACGAATGTAAAGATTCAGGTAAACAAATACTGTGAACTAGGTGTTGACCTCCCTGAAAAACAAGGGAAATAACTTGAGATCCATGGCATTAAAACAATCAGAACATGAACAGGGCAATACAATTGTGCTGAGAATGAGTTTCAAAAGAAGAGAGGTTACTTAGTGAAGGTAGCTGAGAAAGCAAGCAGTGTTTCTACTATTGTTCCAGGTCCGTTATGCTGTTGCACATGAGGAAAGTACATCCAGTACTAGAAAATGTTGCCAGATATAATATACTGATATTGACGATACTGATTTTCAAGTGCAAGATGAAGAAAAAAGTGTGAGACCAAGGACAGGAGGAAGAGAAAAAGAGAGAAGGGAAGGAGAACACGTGTGTGTGTGTGTGTGTGCGCGCGTGCACACGCGCATTTAAAATTTTTAAAGTTATATAACTATAACTATTAGGAAGGTTTCCTTTGTATCAAATTTAACATTTACCTCTTTCCAAGTTCTACCTAGTGTTCATAGTTCTGACTTCTGGGGCAAGAAGAACAAATTTAATCCCTGCTACTTGATAGCACCTGTAGCTCTATCTACCACACACTCCAGCTCAATTTTTGTCACTTCCAGGCTAAATAACTCCAAATCCTTCATTCAATCAACTCAAAGGTTTTCACTACGGTGGTTGCCCTTCTGTTATCCAAATCACTGATAAAAAGTCTTGAACACAATAGGACCAAGGAGAAATCTCTGGAATATTATACTAGAGACCTCATATCAGGAAGACAATAATCCATTAATCACCGTTCTTTAAAATCTGGTCAAGCAACACATTCCAAACTCATTTAACTCATCACCTAAGTATGTCTGTTATTAACAGTTTCTGTCAAATGCCAAGTATTCTCTAACATTCTCCTTATCATACCATCTTAAAATCCTGTTATTAAAGTAAACTAAGTTAGTCTGCCATTAAGTATTCTTGATGAATTAATACTGATTACTAGTGATCACTGCTTCCCTTTTTAAAGACTCACAAACCATTCTTCTAACAGTATATTCTAGAATTTTGTCAGGATCGAATTCAAGTTTATCAGTCAACAATGTGGGGGAAAAATATTTATCCTATGCCTATCTTAGAAGTATATCTGGTTGCACTGTCATCAATCCATATCCTATAGGACTCCCTAACATATACTCCCTAATATACATATTCCAGCCTGAACCATTTAAGGTTTCCTCTGAAAAACTTGCCTATTCCTACCCTCATTCCTACATCCTTTGCTTTTGTGCTATTCTCTAAACTTAAAATCTCTTCCACCAGTCTTAGGCCATTGAAATGATACACATCCTTCAAAGCTTAATTCAAATGTCACTTGCTCTATTATGTCACCCTTATTTCCATGAGGAAAGGGACTTCTTAGTGTCTGTATCTTCTGTAGTACTTAGTACGGTACATTACTGGAACTTAGTAAATGTTTGTTGAACTAATTAAACAATATGCAATATAAACTCATGGAGGACAGAGGTCAAACACTCCGGTGCTTAATTATGTTGACTATATGACATAGTAGCTTTGTCTGCTGGAATCACCTCAACCAAACACTGATACACCTATGCACTATATTAACTAGCAATGAACTATTTTAACTTGTTTCAAAATGTGAAAACTGAGACCAATTCTCATTTAAACTCCACAAATCCAGTTACTAAGATTTCAACTGAAGAGCAAAATAGAAACTTACCAAGTAACTAGGGAACCAGGTTTCTCTCAACACAATTGAACTCTGTGAATAAATCCTAAAAAGAGTCAGAGTACTTAATGGTTTGTCTGAACGCATACAAACCAAAAACTGCACGATCCAATTCACTCTGAAGCTCGTTCACAAGATCCTGTCAAGTAGTATACTTAAATATTAATCAACAAGTAAATGCTTACCTAGAGAATTAGTGTTAAAACTTCAGGTTCTACTATAAACTTCATCATAAAAAAAAAGATGGAAAGAACCTGAAAGTGTTTATAAATTCTCAAATAATGTCTCCTGTTCAAAATGCATTATCTTCAGTCTACCAGGCAACATATATGTGCATTTAAGAGGGGGCACATTCTTTACATTTTAAAAGTCTAGTTCAATTTATGTCTGACGTCTTACCTCAAGCATTAAAAAATTTCCTGATACTGAAATTAAGTCTGGTTAAATCAATTAAACTCTTTAAAATGAAAAGGAAAGAAAAAGAAACTCCCAAAGAAATAAAAATCATTCAGTGTGATATTCAACTTACTATGTTCTAAACAAAATGGTCAATCCAATCAACATATAAAAATTATACCAAAACAATCATAAGAATAACACAGATACAAAATGATGAAAGGCAAAAAATTCTCACTATTTCTAAGACAAAGGATCTTGGATCTACGTATTTATTACTTTCAAGTCTTTTCAACATTTACTATTACTATATTTTCACAACAATCCAATCAGATATGTAGTGTGCTATCATCCCCATATTATAGATGAGGAAAATATAGTATAAAGAAGTTTCCAGAGATTAAACGGTAGTCTTCCAACACCAGCACAAGACTTTGCAAAATGTTTCCCATAGTTAAGCTCACCATTTAAGATGACAAAGGAAATATAAAATACTATCTAAATAGTGGAGTGATTATCCCAACAGTTTTAAAGCAGCTTTTATCACTAGCATTCAAATTTCACTTATTTAACAGAGAAAATCACAACCTGATAGGTTACACAACTGTCATATGCGCAAGTTCAAAACTCCTTTATCATTGTTAGAGAGTCAACGGGAACTAGACACAACAAGGTAAAGACTATACTGATGTATAAAGTGCTTCTATTTTATAAAGTTTAATGACATAATTGGCAGGAACCAGAAGTTCATCTTTTTCCTCACTATTCCATCACAGTTGTTCAGGATACAAAAGTTCAAATTTTCCATTTATCCTAGAATATTTTGTCTTAATCTGTATCATTTGATCCTGTCACATTCTACCCTGTATAATATTTCCTATTGTAAATGTCATATTTCCCTTATTACAACTGTAAATTCCCTAAAGGCAAGGACTATTTTGTTTTCTCCCCTCCGTATTCCTAATGCCTAACAATGTCCTAGTACACAGTAAGTAATTTATAAATATCTGTTGACATTTGTTGTTGAAACAATATTACCACTTTAAAGGGAGGTTTATTAATGTAATTAGACTTCTGAAGAAGTGTTTCAAATTTCTTAGATTCAAGTGGTTACTTTCCATCTTTTCTTTGTTAAAAAAAAAAAGGAACAATTAATGTAGCTTCTTACCTGAGAGCTCCCACTGAAACCTGGAGGTTGACTGTATTCTGTGGAATCAATAATACTACTGCAAAATAAAGAGAAAGAAATTTGGCTTCATCAATGATGCTAATATTATTTTCTTGTTACTATCAATAGAAAATCCCAATAGCACACAAAGTGCCTAACATCTTGAATTTTACATTACAGGAAAAATTCACTGCCCAAAATACAATAATAACCTGTTACCACCTCTTCTATCCAACATCCCAGATATAATGAACATTGTCCTGAAAAATCCATATCAAATATTAACAATTAAAAAGCATCAAATTGATTTCACTGATTTATAAAACAAGCCAGGGCATTCACTCCTGATCATCCTCCAAGAGAACTAACTAAAAGGAGGAGACAAGATTTTGTCCTGTCATTTGATTCTAGAAATCTTTTATAAGAAGCAGGGCTATTATTCTCACGAAGAGTCCCTCCTCAAGGCAACTTACTGGGGCAAGAGTTTATTTCTTCTCCCTTAGACACAGGTAATCATAGCTGATCTTCTGGACTCCATTCTATACTCTCTCAATCCATTCTCTACACTTCCACGCAACACTCCCTTAATGTACCACTATCTCATCACTGTTACATTTAAAGACTCTCTATTGTCTACAGAATTATTCAATCTGGCTCCAACCTACCTGTCCTGTCTTCTCTCACACCTTTCTTCACATGCCAAGTACCAAACAAACTTTACTATGCTTCATCTTCTACTTTCACTCTACTTTTTCCCATCTTTGTGCCGTTACTATTAGTTCCTATTCTTTCAAGGGCTATGCTCCATCTCATGTCAGAAACACCTCACCCTTTCCTTTAAGGCCCAATTCAGGAGCAACCTCCTCCATGAAGCTGTCCTTGACCTCTCCCTATATTCTAGACAGAAGTACAAATCTGTCTAAATTTCTCATCGCATTTTTTGCCTAACTGTTAACTCCTGTAACATTATGCTTTGCATAATACTCACAGACAAAAGGTGATGCTCTAAGTTTCTCTAGGGGGTATTATATTTGAAAATTAATGTTAGGGACAGCTAGGTGACACAGTGGATAGAGCACCGACCCTGAAGTCAGGAGGACTGGAGTTCAAATCCAGCCTCAGACCAAATACTTGACATGTACTAGCTGTGTGACCTTGGGCAAGTCACTTAATCCTGACTGCCTCACTTAAAAAAAAATTAATGTTAACTGAAAGACAATGGATATGAACATAATGAATTTATTAGTTAGGCTTGCAGTAACCAATAAATTGGGTCAATGGTCTGTCTCAATGACCAATGACCAAAGACCTTGAGGTAGGGTTCACCAGCCTTAATATAGTTTTGGGAAGTACAAGAGAACAAAGAACAAGAAGCTTAAACAGTACGATTGGTTAAAAAGTATGAAGTATCATAGATGATAGAAAACAATGTGATTGAATGTAAATTTGGAATGCAGGGATAGCAACAACTCTTCCTTCCATTTTGTTGCTAGGGAAAATGTACCAGTGATGTACACCTGAATGGATAACAGTCCAGACTTTCTTGAAGGACAGACAGCATGGCAGAGATAACAGACTTCCTGGCATCCATCTTGCAAGGCTAATTGTTAGCAAGTTAACAGGTCTTTCTTAATCATACATGAGTAGTAAGATATGGGGAGACAATATATTTCTTTCAATTAAGGTGATTAATGGAACAACTTAGCTGAGATAGGAAAGCTGAAGTGCTAAATTTAACTCAGAGACAAAGAAACATGGCTTACAAAATTTTGCAACATACTGGGGGTGATACAAATAGAATTAATTACAAAATGGAATCAAAATCAATTTGATTTTCTTAGCGAGAATGATCATTTTATCAACTTTAAAGGTAAGTGTCCCCATGTTAAGGGTGCCCAAACAGCCCTGCATGTGGCTACCAAATAATATTTATTGACCTAAATCCACAATACCCCAGGCCAGCCCCTTATTCCCTCCTTCCTGGGATCATCAAAATAAGCCTCTAATCAACTGCCCAACATCCAGTCTCTCCCCTCTCCAAACCATTGTCTTTTTCTACACAGTTGCCAAAATGGCATGACATGACAAAAACACTATGTTCCTCTCTTGAGTAAGAAATTTCAGTACCCCTCACTGCCTGGAAGATAGAATACAAACTCCTCTGTTTGACATTTAAATTTCCTTCACCATCTGGTCCCATACTATCTTTCCAGACTAGTTACATATTATTTCTCCTCACCTAATCTATATTCCAGCCATGGGTCTCTCAGCTGTTCCATGTACACAGCATTCTCTCCCCCATCCAAGTGTATTTACCCAGCTCTGTCTATGCCTGAATTTTTTCTATCCTTTCTCTCTTTCTCTAGGAACCATTAGCTCCCTTCAAGACAAGCTCCCTTAACTACCACCTCCTACATTCAAGGGGCCCTTTCTGATTACCCCAGAGTGGTTAGGTACACCATCACTATGTATTTTATTTTGTATACATCCTGTGGGCACTGCCTCATTTTGGAATTCATCCACCCAGAACACTGGCTAGAATATAGTAAGCACTGAATACTTGCGTACTGATCCACTTATTTAAGCTTTTTATTCCTACATTCAGATCTTTGATTCCATATGTTTGGAGAAACTTGAATAATCTCCTTCCTTAGTAATCTGCCACATGTAATGTAATCTCCCCAACTGTCTTCCTTCAGTCTATCAAAGCAATGTGCAGCCCCCTTTATATTTAGTTCAATTTTATAACAAGCGTGTTTCTGTTGGAGAGGGAATGTAGGGTAGTAGAGAAAGAGCAGGCCTTGAAACTAGGAAAACCCTAGGTCCAGTCCTGCCTCTGCCACATGAAGACTCTGTGATTCTGGACAACTCACTTAATCTCTCAGTGTTTTAGGAAACTCTCAAAAACTATAATTTGCTGAGAAACTGCTGATCAACACTGGTAAAGGAAGTTCCTCAGCCAGGAGCTCCCAAGATCTATGAAATCAAAGTCTAACTTCTATTCCTATGTTTCTGTTGTTTACAATTTTATTTGTCTTCACTCACACAACAGAACAAAAGTTCTATGAGTGAAGCAAGCATGTTTGTTCTTTAAAACATGTTCCAAATGCCAAATAAATTATACAACTATATGGCCTTTAGATACTCATATTATCAATGGTAACACCAAAATGGAAAGATAATAAATGATGCCTTTCATATTTTCAAAACACAATCTTGAAACCAGATGCCCTATCTCAGTAATTTTAAAAAATAAATATAACACTGATGTTTTTCTGAATTAATAATGGGCCTATTTTCAATCTCATTCACAAAATAAGAATGCAGCATCATATGTTCCTACTCTAAGAGTCAACTGTAAAGGAAATTACACAATGCGTCTTCAAAGATTGATGAATGAAAGTGGCCATCTATTGAGATGACATGAGTAGTTTTATGGATGTGAACTATGAAAATCTATATAAAAATTAATTTAGAGAAGCTGAAGTTAAATAAAAAGCCTGTATTCTACACACCTATAGTTTCCCTGATTCACTAACCCAATGCAGGTATATTAACAGTGTGGCTTGGTAGACATAGAGTCAGACTTGGAGAACTATAGATAGAGGTTTAATCCCTGACTGGTCAATCAATCATTATCAAGTACCTACTATGTGCCAGGTACTATGCTAAGTACAGGCATACCAAAAACAAAAACTAAAGCCAACAGTCCTTGCCCTCAGAGAGCTCAAAAGCTAATAGGAGAAGATAAATATATTAAAAGAAGCTGGGGTGGGAGGGAGGGGTGCTAAGGATATTATGAAGTCCTAGAGTACAGCTGGGTGGTAAATGATGCCATGGCTCCCTGGATTAAATGGAGGATCTAAGAAGAGTTCTCACATGTTCAGCTCTACCCTCTTCAATCAGAGAGGGAGAGGTCTCAGACGGCAAAGGGTACTCAGTCAATAAACATTTATTATCTCTCAGGATGATGAGTTTCTAGAGGCCATGATTCAGGAGTACAGTTGGATAGAAAATGACTGGCTCTATAACTCTGAGCAAGTAGTACCTTAACCAAGCAACTAAGATGGGAAATTGCAGAGGAGATGCTAATCTACATTAGAAGAGGGGAACAGCCTCAGGCAGGGATGCAGCCCTCTAGGTTCTCAAGTGCAACCCTTTGACTGAATCCAAACTTCACAGAACAAATGGCCTTAGTAAAAGGATTTGTTCTATAAAACTTGGACTCAGTCAAAAGACTGCACCCAAGGACCCAGAAGGCCATAGGTTCCCCCACCCCTGCCCTATATTTTTGGAAAGCTTTTTTTTTTCAAGCCAGTATGTTTAAGAAGTGGGGAAAACCAAACTGAAAAGCTTCTATTAATCTTCAACTAAGCAGCATTAACTCCAGCATTTTTTCTACTTCACTGCCCTGATTACTTGGGAGATGAATTATTTTGGCACAAAACAAAGAAAAATATCAAATAGCCCATATTTCTGTGTAATACCCTCCACTTCTGCAGTGATCATTGCAAACTGGTGGGGAAGAGGGAAGGGGGCATAGAATACTCTGGTCACAAATATTATGGACTATCTTTAAATCCTAACTTCACTGTTGGCACTCTAAAATTGAGACCATGTTTCCCAAATGATAAATGGTCAAAGGATATGAACAGATAGTTCTCAGATGCAGAAATGAAAGCCATCTATAGTCATATAAAAAAATACTCTAAATAATTATTGATTAGAGAAATGCAAATCAAAACAACTCTTAGGTACCACATCACACCTATCAGATTGGCCAATATGACAAAACAGAAAAATGATAAATGCTGAAGAAGATGTGGGAAAATTGGAACACTAAGGTGTTGTTGGTGGAGTTGTGAAATGATCCAACCATTTTGGAGAGCAATTTGGAACTATGCCCAAAGGGCTATAAAAATGTGCATACCCTTTGACCCAGCAATAGCACTTCTAGGGCTGTATCCCAAAGAGATCATACAAATGGGAAAAGGACCAACATGCACAAAAATATTCATAGCAGCTCTTTTTGTGATGGCAAAAGAATTGGAAATTGAG